AAAATTTTCATAAACCAATTAAGTGAGCTATAACTATAACTGGTCACTTAGTCAGCAGCGGCATCAGTTACCCGCATACAAACAGACATACAAACGCTCGTGAGGCTCGTGCTCACTGAAATTCCGCTACCGTTGCGGTTTGTATATTTGTTTGTATGTATGAGTACTTCGGTATGATTTATATCTCTACATGATCTTGTGCAGGTGTTTAAATATTAACTATAACTGTGACAATACTAATTTAGAACTAAAAATAATTTGAAAAATTTACTTGTAATTTATTTATTTGAATTCGTGTTGATTATTGTAACTTTTCCGTAAAACTTTTCCTTTGAAAACAATAACGATCCAGTATATTTTGTATTTTTTGTTAGCGTTAATTTGTCAAAACCTTCTTTAGTATTCAAACAAAGGATGCTGTCAGTACGATCTCGAATTAGGCATTTGTGTTCTTTGCCGTTATATATCACAAAATTTACAATATACTCGATTATTAGAACGCTTAAGGCTCAGTATCGTACAAAACATCTTAAAATTAATAAAAATAAATAAAAAAGTTTCTATACAACAACGTGATTGTGATCGTTCAATTTGTATGGCAGCTTTATTCGAAGATTGTAGCGTTGTCTTGAGGAATATTCTATACCAAATTTTGTGAAGATATCCTGTTAAATAAAAACATTTTCCATACAGGGATTTTATTTTGATCGCTCATCTTATATGGCAGCTATATGCTGTACTAGTCCGATAATCCCGGTTCCGAAAAATGATCAGCAGGTCTTACAAATGGACATGGCTAAATCGACTCAGCTCGCCACACTAATCATTTATGTATACATATATTTTATTGGGTCTCCGACATTTCCTTCTGGGTGTTACAAACTTTGTGGCAAACTTAGTATACCCTATCTATGTTATCATAAGAAAAGTACAAATTTAACAGGTTCACTTAACGGCACACGCCTACTTAATGGCATATTTCAGCATCACTGAATAGCGGTAAATATCTAAAATATGTTTAAAAAGCCACCTTTTAGGAGCAAGGAAAATAATATTACATAAACTCGTATTTTCTCAAACATTATATCATGTGCTAGCCACGCTCACTTTTACAATAAGTTAATCTCTCAAACCAAGCCTATTTACTAAATCGTTTTGAAAATATATAACATCCATTTGGATGTTGTGAGCTTGTTGCTTTTTTTTGTTTAAAAGACAACCACATATCAATAAAGATATTGCGTCAAAACTTATCACTTGCAGTACCACTGATATGTTGGGCTATGTTTCCAAAAGTAGGAGATTCTCCCCTCATCTGGTTAATTTTTAAAGGTATATTTCGAGCTCCATAGAACTAACATATTGCCGTCTTTATATGATTTTATTGTCGTTGTTGTAGCTTCTTGTATTCTTTAATAATTTTGGGGAATTTCGCTGAGTTGACATTCTTAGCCATGTTGAAGTTCGGGTCCACTACGTATATAGTTATGTGCCGGTATTTGATATAATATATCACAATAATATTAGGTGATAATAATATGGTCAGTATTTTTCTTATGCCCCATATCCCTCATATGGGTTAGCGTGCTTGACTGTAATGTAAATATTTAGGATATGAAGAATATAATAATTTGAATAAAACTAACCAGACATATTACGAATATTAATAATTAGTTTTATTAATTACTTTTTTTGGAATCAAAATCAGCGCAAATTTGGCTCGTTACCAATATGCATTTTTTGTTTTTATAATGAATCATACCTAGTATTGGATGTTATCTGAACTAACGCCTTCCTTTGTTGTTAATATGTATATTTACTATTTTTTTACAACACCAATTTTCTACAACAAGAATCCGCTTGTATTTTGAAACCTATTGGATCACTAGACCATTTGATCGCCACTTATCGCCGGCAATTTATTAAGAAAGAATATTTGATGCGTTCAATTAACTGACTCAAAACAAACGCGAAAATGACTCGTAGCATAGCAAAACAAAACCGCAAATCAAAAACAAAACCAAAACCAAAACATAAATAAAAGAAAGTGAAAAAAAACCACGAAAATTGACTTCTCCAAACACACACATACTCGCGCTCTTCAGACGCTAGCGACGCGGTGGCGGTGAGCGGAGTTTAAAATGCAATTATTTCATTAAGACTTATTTCGATCGCAATTAACTCGTTGGTGAATAGTCATGTGCATGACATTTTCAATATGAAACTTTTCCGAAATTTTTGTTTTTGTAAATATGACAAAGATATGTATGTACGAGTATGTATGTACGAGTATGTATGTATGCACATAGTATGGATGAATAGTTTAATAGAAGTTATTTCAGTAGTGCGCTGCGTGCGTGGATGAGTGTGCCACCAGCTCTTGGGGCCGGCGATGATGACATTTGCACCACTCCTAACTCAAATGTTTTCTAAATATTCATGTTTGTATGTATGCTTGCCATTTGATATGTGTGCGCACCGATGGCTCATGCACAGTTGTGTCTGATGGCTGAGCATTTGTCGTGACCGCTGAGTGACGGACTGCCGGCAGATGGTGTGCTTTTTTTCCAGCCTTACATGCGATGGTGTAATTCGAACGGTATATTTGTGCTCGCGTTAGAAATTTCAATGTCTCATTTGTTTACCTTTTTCACCCGCACATGTTTGTACGTGTGTAGACATGTGTGTGTAATCTAAATAATTTCGTGTAAATTTGAAGCTCGCGTAAATTAATATAGCTTTTTATTTACTCTGTTTTGTTTTTGGGTTTGTTGTTGCTAATTTGGTAGACTGTCGAATTTTGCCTATCCATTTGTTGCAATTACTGTAGTTCAAGGGCAATTAAAGCAAATTAATTTTTTCGTTCACCTGCCATTATAGCTGCGCTAAATGAAAATATTGTTGGTGCGGCAATTTAATTATTATATTATACATACACATGTACATACATACATCTATACAATTTAATTTGGTTAACTTGGACAAACAAGTGCGGTGTTTAGCAGGGATGTGAATTACATGCATATGTCGCCACTAGCTGCCAAAAATGGTAGGAGAAATAGTACCAAAACATCGTAACAGAATTATTGTGGCATTTATTTTTTATACGAACTATGCGGTGAACTTGGAAGTTTACACTAATAAATCCATCACAAACTATTTTAGTCTAACAAAATCCATTACTGGAATTCCGACTATGGATTTTATTATTTCCGAAATCGGCTTAAATACTACGAAAACCCGTTAAATGACGACTTCTACACCATCTAATCAAATTTGACTCGGACGGTGAGACCCAATTTTACACAAACATAAAAACAGGTTATTATGGACTAATTCGGGTAAATTTTGATTAGATAGTAGCCTGAAAATACTTCTCCTTGATCAGTCTTCGTGCCTATAAATAACTAGATACTATTTTGCATAGTAGGTAATATCTTAATCTTTCTCGTTCGACTAATACAGCTCGACTGTCGGCATAATCGGAACCTGGTTTGTACGAAAGGTAACGTTATATTTCGCGACGCCTAAAAAATTGAAATCTTCATCACGACGTGATCGATTTGATCTTTAGTCTCCGATCGGGTTAAGGTCACTATACTTGATGTACTTATTTGAAATTTGGTGCTACAAAAAAACCTATTAAGATCGATACGCTTCAATTCAATCCGTCTACAGAAGTTTTTTCGTAAGGTTCAACTTTTCTGGTTGTTCTCAGATTCCAGAATTGTATTCAAAAAGGTTACTGTCTGGTGTAGTTTGTAGGTTCTCGAATGCATTGTAGAGCCATGCTCTCATCAAACGCTTATATCAAAGTGTTAAATGGTTCAAGTCGGATCGTACAAAAAGCCAAACATATATCCTTAACAAGCATATCTTTATTACGATGACCTATTCGTGATTGCATGATTTTCAGAAAAGTTGATGTAATTTCCTTCGTTAATCTACTTTTTGTGTGGGTGCGTCAAATCATTAAATGATCTGCCTGACGAACTAAGTCGATTAATGTTCGTCTGTCTATGGTATACATACGCGAACTAGTCGCCCTGTTTTTGAGATATCAAACTGAAATTTGGTACACGTAATTTTCTTCTCTGGAAGTTACTCATTTGTCGGATCCGCCGCTATCGGACCACTATAGGATATAGTTGTCATACAAACTGATCGATCAAACTCAGGTCCTTAAATGGACAACTTTTTTATTTAATAGGGTATCTTCACGACATTATTCACAGATTACTGCCAGAGGCAGCGCTACAATCTCCGGACAAATTGTTCAGATCAAACTCAAGATAAAGATCGTTTATACTCTTTAATGCTATAAAAAAATGCAAATGTGAAGAGTATTGTAGCTTCGGTGCAGCCGAAGTTAACGTTTCTCCTTGTTATGTGCATTATTAGTCTATGTAATTGAGGTTATTAAAAATAGCTTTTGTTTTTAAGTGGCTGCGTATGATAGCATCAAGCACTGATTCCCCATTAATTTCGGTATGAAACTTGTGAATAATTGATATGCTGCCGACTTAAAATTTAATCTTATTAAATAATGCACGAGGCAATGATATAAACAAATGACCGACTACCCACTGGAGACTTATGAACTATGAACATTTACAATGCAGCATAATTTGTAGTTTTGAATAATTGAAGAACGGCGCTTTAATAATGACATATGTGATTGCGCATTGAATATTGCTTCATTAACGTGTTGCTTGTGTATACGCAGCAGTTCATCAGCGCAAAATAATGTGGCATTAACTAACTGTAATTCTCCCAGGGAAGTGGCAACAGTGTTTTTTAAAATGATATATTTTCACAATTCAAAGTTTCCAAACAATTGGCAACGTTTTCAATTCTTTTTTGTATAAATCGGCTCATCGAGCGTGTAACCAGAGTTCTTTAAAATCTAAAATGTACACTTATTCGTAAGAAAATTGTAATAAACCCTGATTTAGAAAAAATTCCAGTCTCTCACAATCTTTCATTTGCTTTCTTTGCAGCCTGTTCGAACAGGAGATTATGAGCTATGTTCCTATTGAAGAACGCAGTCCACAGGGTTCGCCAGTGCTCAACTCTCGCATGCCACAGCGCGCACCGCCACCATTCCGACGGGATTTCGAAGCAAAATTGCGTGGCTTCTACCGCAAATTGGAGTCGAAAGGCTACGGACAGGGTCCGCACAAACTAAAGTACGAGCCCCAACTTTAAAACCATTATTATTTTATTTTAATATATTTCGATAATTTTTCGCAGATTACACATTCGACGCACACATCTGCTAGAAGATGCCTTCCGGCGCATAATGTCGGCCAACAAGAAAGATCTGCAGCGTGGTCGTCTCGCTGTGCTGTGGGATACTGAAGAAGGCTTGGATTATGGCGGTCCATCAAGGTAATTGACACACCTCATAATTACAAAAATGTGGTCTGATTTAAATTTCAACTTCAATTTTTTTTTTTTTTTTTTACAGAGAATTCTTCTTTCTGCTTTCACGCGAGCTCTTCAACCCCTACTACGGACTGTTTGAGTACTCAGCCAACGACACATACACTGTGCAAGTCTCACCACTGTCAGCATTTGTGGACAATTGCCACGATTGGTTCCGGTTCGGCGGTCGTGTGCTGGGCTTGGCGCTCGTACATCAATACCTATTGGATGCCTTCTTTACACGCCCATTTTACAAGGCGTTGCTGCGTTTGCCCGTCGCGCTGAGTGATCTGGAATCGCTGGATAATGAGTTTCATCAATCGCTACAATGGATACGCGACAATGACATCGGCACCGGCATTGATCTTGGTCTAACATTTTGCGTTACCGAAGAGCTATTGGGACATGTGGTCGAGCGTGAATTGAAGCCGGGTGGTAAGAATATAATTGTAAATGAGAAAAACAAGAAAGAATATTTGGAACGCATGATTAAGTGGCGTTTGGAGCGTGGCGTACAAGAGCAGACGGAATCGTTGGTGCGTGGCTTTTACGAGGTAGTCGATGCGCGTCTGGTTTCCGTATTCGATGCACGTGAATTGGAATTGGTTATTGCGGGTACGGCCGAGATTGATATTAATGATTGGCGTTTAAACACCGAATACCGTTCGGGTTATCATGACAACCATCAGGTGATCATTTGGTTTTGGCAAGTTATCGAGAAATTTACAAATGAACAACGTTTACGACTGCTACAATTCGTGACCGGCACCTCTAGCATACCATACGAAGGCTTCTCAGCCCTGCGCGGCTCAACTGGTCCACGACGATTTTGCATCGAGAAGTGGGGCAAGCCGAATGCCTTGCCACGTGCGCACACCTGCTTCAATCGCTTAGATTTACCGCCTTATCCGACGCCCGAGTTGCTATATGAGAAACTACTGTTAGCCGTAGAAGAAACGAACACATTCGGCATAGAATAGGTATGCAAGGCGTTTGCGCATGCGTTGTTGATTGCCTAGCTCAGCGATTAGTAGTTTAGAGTCAGTCGCAAGTTCAACTTAATGAATTAAGTTAATTTATTAAAATCATTAGTATAAACGAAAGAAAAGTGATATTTTATTAGGATTATTTATTTATTTCCGTATTTTCGCATTTACATATTTACACAAGATATATTTGTAATATTTATTGTGAATAGGTTTTCTTTTTCTATATGAACAACCGCATACAAATCGCTTATTTTATTGTCAGTGTGTATTTACGGTATATATTTTATTGTGCAATCAAGTGTTTAAATGGCAATCATTTTAATATCTCATTTAAATTATTGTGTGACTTTGACCTAATAAAACTTTTTAATTACCCGGCGATATTAACAAATCACGTGAAATAATAAATACAAGTTAATGAATTATGTGATTAATTATGGCATAGGATATTCAGAAACGTAACTAAATTGTAGAATATTAAATATGTTTTGGTAGATCCAAACTCTTTTGAGGACATATATCTTTACATACAGACGTAATTTAGGCCTATTTGGTGTATTCTGCTATTTACCGCTTATATTTTGGACTTAGTACAGCCATTTTTTAAAGGAAAATATTTCATTAGGTTAGGAGTTATATAAAGCAGTCCATTTCCCAAAAATTCACTTTTGAAACGTTACAACAACGGTAACGTATATAATATAAGGAAGGAGTGTAATTTTTGCAGAAGTTGATATTTCCTAAGTACTCCAAAGTGATGACTATCCTGGATACTTATATTTGATCGAATTTCGTTACAAAAATTGAAGAAAAATATTTTATAAGCATACCATTTGGCGGTAAACACTAGAAATTAGCTTCTTTCTATGTAGAGCTTGGAGAATTGGAGAATAGACATATTGGGTGGTAGAACCGGTTGCCATGGGAGGATTTTTAGTATTTTCACTCGCAGGCCTTTCTTATGATTTGGATCACTCGTTATACATAAATGAGTACTAAATAAGAAAAAATAGCCTGCATTTTAGCGCATTGATATAATGGCGAGGTTAAAGATCAGATTCAATATTTATAGAATTTCCTTTATATAATCGAAACGCCGTTGAATATTAGAAACTAACAAAGTTACTTAATTCATTTGTTACGTCACAGCGAAATTTAATTGACTTGCTGAAATGATTGCCAAAATGCGTGCTTAATCTGCTTAAATGAGAAAAATATACAAACTAATTTTAACAGTTATACTTAAATTTGCTACAATTGATGGATTGTAGGTTGCATTCCTCATTCCAAATACAATATATAAATAATTAAAGATAGCAATTTTCTGTTCATGAAATGAAAATTAGAAAATGCGTTGGTTTATTTTTCAGGGCCTTAGAAAGATCAACGAATATGTGAAAAATACTAATTTATTGTTATGTTTGTATTATTACAACAAATTATTCTGTACTTCATATAATTTTAACACTTAGATATATATAACTACAATATTTAATTTGAAAACTCTACCTCTTTTAACTATTAAAAACAACATTTGCTCTCTCACTGTGTGACATTAGTTTTAAGCCTAACGTAGAATATAGATTATTATTAATTATATGAAATTATTAATAAACCGTTAATGTAGCTATTCTAATATTATATGTATGTAACATATGTTAACCCGTCCATTTCTATATAAAGCTTTAGTCGATGCAAAGTCGAGTTATGACTTTATTGGAAATGCAACCAAAACCAATATAATCAATATAATAATAATAAATTGATTAATAAATACTAAATTATTAATAAAATGTTCAACAGCTACGTTTATAGTAGCGCAATACGTAAAATAGTGGCAAAAAGAAAAAGGCATTATAGATTGCTTTCAAATTCATGTGGCGAAAATAATTAAGAGACACTGTGTTTATTTTGAAGTGATATTAAAAGAAATATAACGATTACAAATCGTGCAAATAACTACAATGGAATAATTTGACTGAAATTATGCACCACAGACATGACGAGTATAAATATATAGCTATTCGAATGTTCGAAAACATAAATGCCGAAAATGCGCATGTTTTTGACAAACGTAGAATTGCGTTTTAAATATGTTTAATTAAATATCGTAGCTGTAGTTATTTGAAATAGTAAACGCTACGAAAATTTTGATAAATAATGACAAAAATGTATTTAACATTTAAATTTATTGCAAAAAACCGTTATATGCGAAGTCAATAGTATGCATAAAGCATAAATGTTTATAACGGGTAAAAAAAAATTATTTTATGCGAGTTAATTGTGCTTAGAATTTATTGCGTACTTGTATTTGTATTTATTATAAAATTTTGAACAAAACAAAATTTTAAATTTGAAAAAATCAAAATTTTAAATTTAATTTAAAGCACATAGTTTTTTGGGAATTTTCGCTGGTTTATAAATCAAATAAACAAAAGTATAAAACTTATGCGAAATAAAAGTCTTTATGACTACAAAGCAAGCAGAAAAATATGCACTTAACAATTCCATGTTACCTGATAATGAAGATTCCTTTATACAAAGCAGAGAAAAATCAGCAAAGCTTGAGTGGAATTGCACGCTGCAAACATATTTTCTAAAAATATTTCCGAATACAATAATATAGCTCGATTCCGAAATCAAAAATTCTATGGCACATCACAAAATATACATGCACTGCCCTTTGTTTGAATGTATGTAGCTAAATGGCAGCCGATCGGCGGCGCAAAAGAACACCATACGAAGACTATTCTAGAATATTTATATACATACTTATATGTGTAACTTAAAATGTTGTAGTACTTAAATATCTTTAATGTTAAAAAAATTATTTATTATTTCAAAACCGTTAAGTACAATTGTATCCATGCTACACGATACATCATTAAGAAAAAAAAAAAAAATTATTTTCCAACTCTTTGGCGGCCAAAATGTCATTTAGATAAAAAAAAAGAGTTTATTTTCAATTTCGGGTAGTGAATTGCCATTTGGAATGGCATTAAAGAACATATTCTAAAATTAAAAATATGGTTTCCAATAGTTTAAAATATGTTTCAGTTATTATAGCAAACTAGACCCATTTTTGTAAGCGAGCAAAAAAAAAATATACAATATATCATTTAAATAAATTTTTTTTATTCTAATTATTCGACTATTTCTGTAAAATTTAATATTTTGTATTTCTATTATTTTTTGATTTAAATTTTTTTTAATGCTTTTGGTTTTATTTTTATACTCTTGTAACATGTTGCTACAGAGTATAATAGTCTTGTTCACCTAACGGTTGTTTGTATTATTTAAAACGAATTGAGATGGATATAGGTTTATATATATACAAATGATCAGGTTGGCCGAGTTAAAATCCGGATTTCTGCCTGTCCGTCTGTTCGTGCAAGCTGTAATTTGAGATATCGTCATGAGAGTTTGTGCATGTGTTCCTTGGTCAAATCGAAAGGCGAAGTTCGTAGATTGGCGTAATCGGACCACTGCCACACCCACAAAACGCCAATATTCGAAAACCTATAAATAAGCAATGACGCTTTTGTTTTAATTTTTTTGTTGTCAATAACATTTTTGTTTACGTTTTGCCGAGATCAGTGACCCCTTTGTTTACATTTTATGAGGTCAACATTTAGTCTAGTCCACAACCATTGTTCACACATAGCCAAGTCCACAACCATTGTTTACATTTGATGTCAATAACTTTTTTAAATTTATTTTATGAGTCAATAACCCTTTTGCAACATGTTGCTACAGACTATAATAATTTTGTTCACCTAACGATTGTTTGTTTCGGTTACACCCGAACTTAGCTCTTCCTAACTTGTTTTATTTATTGTCAGCATTTTAATACTGTTTCTTTTTAATTAATTTTTTATTTCAATACTTTTATATAATATTTGTTATTTTTTTTATCATTATTATTGTATATTTAATTTTTTTTAATATTCTTTAAATTCATTTAAAATTTTTTTTTACTTTTTAATTATTATTTTTATTTTTTATCATTTTGTTACATATTACTTTTTTTTAAACATTTCATTGTTATTTTCGAACTATACATAGTTAAGTAATGAGGCGTTCGCATTTGTGCGACCCTTATTAATAATTTTACTAGAAATTTTATCTATTGCTTGTAAATCTATTTGTAATTATGTATGTGTGAAACTTTGTATGTGGTCATGGATACAATTATTACAATAGATTCAATTTGGACTTATATATTTATATTTAATATTCAACTTACACAAATGTATGTTATTTATTTATTGAAAATATATATGTGTATGTATTTATTTATTTATTCAATGTTAAGTCTTAATAATAATAAAAAAAGAAGTAAATATATATTTATTGAAATAAAAAATGAAAGACAGCCTCAAATACCAAGCTCTATATGTATTACAAATGTAGTTAAATAAACGTCAGCAATCTTTTGCTTTCCTAACTTTAACGCATGCGTACGTTCTGAATAAAAATCAAATAATAAACTGAATAAAACGAAATGGAATGCTAAACCGAATGATTTCTTTAATTAACAAACGGAAGTGGATGAATTAAAATTGACCTCATAGGCGCATACGAAACTAGTGTGACGCTAACTACGTTAGTAAGCGACATGTTCTTCAATAAAATCGTAGTTATTTACAGTTACAAAGACAACGATAGATGTAACAAGGAAAATAAAAAAAAAAACAATGAAAATTTTATTTCATTTTCATATTTCGCTTTCTGAGAAATGATTTGACCGCCGCATGTAAAGTGTGGTCTGTGTAGGGGTTAAGAAATGTACTGCAATTTGCATACATATGTGTGTGTGTGGCACACACACACACTCTGATAAATGTAGGTGTGGTTCCACCATAGTGAACGCTTAATTGCTGCATTTTGTGCTGCCGTGGCAACACCATCTGGTGTCTACCCACCGGACCGTTAAGAATAAAGTATGAAGTTGACATAAGCCACAATCTCATGGTTTTATCTTTAAATACGATTGTAGAAGAGAGCAAAAACTAACGGATAAACACCTTGACAAATAGGTTGCTTGTTTTATTAGTATTGCACAGTTTTGCCTTATCTACTACATACCTGATACGTAGATTATGTATTAAGCCATTTGCGAGTGGGCAGGTACTCCACCTAACCGTTAACTATTAAATAAAATAGGAGGCCAAAGTTCGGGTGTTACTATGCTAAAACCTTGTAGTATTCTGTATTGTGAGATAAAAGTATCTGTAGAGTTTATGCAGAAGTTCCAGGAAAATTCGATTTGGTTGTGTTCTGAATTTTAAACCATGTCAAAATAGTGCTTTTTGACCAAGTTTGTTGCAAACTAGTCAAGTAGTTTGTGGGCTAAAAAAAATTTAAAGAGTAAGCCACCCTTGTTTTTTTATCGATCTATATTTAAGTGTACAATTTTTTCCAATTTTAGTATAATACTCGGTTAGATGAAAACGCTTTCATCAGGTTTTGTTGAATACGATAACGGTTCATAGAGCAGCGGCTACTTTCTTGACGAATGAGACTGAAGCACCGATTCGTATGTATTAGCTAGTAAATACCATATGGCAGACTTGGCGAAGAAAAATTACTTACACCAATTGACACAGTCATGACAAATCACTGGAAACCAGAGAACAAAATAATAATTTTAACCCGATTTTAACTTTGGCGCCATTTTTATATAACTACACGGAAATACATAGTCAAAAGAATTGATTTTTGATTATAAATTAAATGCTGGACATTTTTTATTGATTTGTCGTTTCGGGATTTGTTTACAGTAGTTTCGGAATATTGAACGTCTGCGGGACTCATCGTGATTAAATCGGAATTCTGTAATTTGTAAATCTGAATATCAAAGATATATCTAGTAAGCTCTTTTTCAAATCGTATAAGTGAGGGATAAAGATTCAATCAAAGGTTTTTACTATTGGTAAGGTTTTACTCAATTTGCGTCTATAGAAAATGATCTTACGAAGTCACTTCAAATGACCTAGGAGACTAATTGACATTTCTCGAATCATAGGTAAAGAAAAGCTCGTCTTCTAAGAGGATGATGATGACAAATAATGATGAATAAAGTATGGAGCAATAATGGCATGTCAAACAGTTCACACCAGACAGGAACGTTTTCTGGTTCCAGAGAACTGAACTTAAATATGACAGTTTTTATTTTCTAAACACATTCTATATAAGAATATTATAGTTGTATAAAGTGGTGTAATTAAGAAATGCCATATTAAGTTTCTTGAGCTGTTTAAAGATTTAAAGAGCTTCTAAAAATATTTTATTTTAAAACTTCCTCATTATTTCTATATTCTTAATGATAATTATATATCTTCCGTATTGGTTTTGTATTTCCTTTTCTGCTTTTATTAAGGCTAATTTACATTCGAGTTAGAAGAATAACATTTTCGTAGAATTCGGTGAAAGGTCAAATAGAAAGAGTGTTGTAAGTTTTTTTTTTGTTTTTTTTTGTTTTTTTTTACATTTTCAAGGCACGTGCATAAACTTTCGCCTATTTTTTTGATCAAAAGCAAGTATTTCAAGTATTTCAGAAATTATATGTCTAAATGTGTATCACCAAAGTATGCATGTGTAAACATAACAACAAAAATACAAAAATAAAACGGTAGCGAAATACACACCAGAAATTAGGTAATAGAAGAAAAACTTTTAAGCCATTGACGAAGTCATTTCGTAAAAGTAAAGGAAGAAGAAACGTATAGAGAAACCAACTGTAAAAAATAAAAATGCCATTAGAAAGGACATTTCCAGTTATAAAGAATGC